AATCCGTTCAAGGCATTTAATTAAGCAAGCCGGAGACAATTTATTGACATAAATTAGTCTAGTTAAAACTTATAAAATAATATGCTTCGTACACAAAGTGACTGAATATATTGGTCTAGTTACAGCAGGTTGAAGATACAATTTCGCAAATGTAAATTTAATATCGTTAATATAGTAATCAATTATTTGGCGACTTTTCGACGAATGAACATTTTTTTCTATCAAAAAAAATCGAAACATTAAATCTTGTTGTTTTGCGGGCCTTAACATAAAATTTATGTAATTAAAAATTCGTAGGTTGAATCTATGGTTAATAAATTTTTACCAATTTCACCGATTACAAAGTAATGTACAGTACCTTATTTTTAAATTTACAATTATCATATGTTAACCGAGACATATATATAGTAATAGGGGGTTATAATTTTATACTAGATCGTGTCGACTTTGCCTAGTATAAAATTTGAAATCACACGAAAGGAAATTTTCATCCGTCATTTTTTATATGGCTATCTTAGACATTAATATTGATATTTAATTGGATAAAATCCAAGTCGACACTGAGACGTTATTTCTTTATATCAATTTTCTATAAACTTCAATACATATCAAAAAATTCTATTATATTGATACTTTATTTTATTAATCATTTGTATAATATTGTAATATTTATAAATTTATAAATGATACTAACTTGTCGAAAAACTAATTAAAAAAAGAAATTTATAGAAATTAACAATAAACAACAATGCTGTCATATGGTACCAACGCAACATATTCTTCCACTTCATATTTAATATTACTATTCAAGCTCAAATTTCTGCTTACACCTACGTATTTCAAAGATTTGTTTCGTATGCAGAATTCTATTAATGCTTTAACATTTTTCTTATTATCAAGAATATTATTAACAAACAGTTTGTTTAAAGGTGTATCGCAATGATTGAGCAAAATATCAATATGTGAATTTAAGCAAGAATTTCTTAAATCAAGATATTGCAATGATAACGGTAATATTTCTGCAAACTGAATAACTTGTTCTTCTTCTGGTATGTCATTAATATACCATAAATGCCATAACGTGAGAAATTGAAGTTTTTGTAAATTGCCAATAAGTTCAAATAGTTTCGTAGAAAATTCCATAGATGAAACGTTGAGGTACGTAATATTTGGGCAGAAAGACTTGAGAGTTTTTAGCAATAAAGATTCTTCCCGAATTTTTACAAATTCTTCATCCGATTCAAGTTTTAATTGTTTTAGTAATGTGCCAGACTTTTCTAAAATTAACACTATGTTCGACGCGTCAATCAGACCATTAACTACCTCCAAAGTGCTAACTTTATAATCTAACATTTTCAACATTCTATCGGCACAGTACCTAATACGAAGAATTTCTAAATTTTCACAATTCATTAATACTTTGAACTCTTCGCTATAATCACACCATTCTATTATAGCTTCTTGTAATGATTGTTTCTGATTCTCTAAAGCCGACATGACACCATAGAATTCTGCTGGAAGTTCCTCAACACCGGCTAACATAAATTCTCTAAGTTGTTCTTGCGAATTAATAATGTATTTAAGTGCATGATATAACTGTGGCTCATAATCGGAATAAAATTCGTCAATTTTCAAAAATTTAAGTCTCGTAGCATTTCTTGCCAAAGTTCTTAATAAAGTAGCAGCATTTTCCATGGCAAAATCAGGTACTAAACCCAATGACAAATATTGGAGTTGAGAGAAAAATTGTTCATTTCGACCTAATGAGTAAAAGATCTCTGGTTTAATTTCAATAAATTCCGAAAAATATAAATCTAATTCGTTTAAAGTGGCACCACTCTCGATAATTAATTTAAATAATAAATTAATTATTTTAGTTTTCAATGAATTATTATATTGTTTCGAACCAAGCTGGAAATCAAGCCATTTTTCAACAGTACTTTCTAGAAAATATAAATTGAGAACTTTTAGAAATCTTGCATAATTAAATAATGTTTTGGAAAATTCTGCAATTCTACACTCCTTTAAAACGAATTTTTCGTACTCGCCAAGAGACGAAAAATATTTAGAGATGAATAATGGTTTTTGATTGATTAAAAACGGATTTTGCCAAAGAATAGGAATTGACATTTTACACCAATGTCTGCTTACAAGCGCGCAAGAGTATAAAGAATAAAGTTCATATTTTAAATTGGAAAGAATTTTTTCCATTAATTCAGGCATATCGCCTACAAACATTTTTGATGCCATGACGATGAGTTACTTCTGAGTGTTTCTGAGCGTTTCTTTGTTAATGAGAATATAACGATACGTAGAACTTGTTATTGTTATGTAAATACGTAGCTGAATGGAGTCTATAAATAAAGACTTATGTACCTATTTTCATGTGATCATTCGATCTATTTAAGAATACAATTTATGCAGCATGTAAATTGGGCAGATGATAGAAATTGTATTAGAACATTTATTTGGATTAAATACTGTGGTAGTTACCTAATTAGTTCTACAAGAAGTTCCTTTTTTTTTGGTTTAGCATATTAACGATAAAAAATTAAGAACGTGTGTCTAGTTATTACGTACGTACGTACGTATGTTAAATGGAATTTATATGAGAATATCGATATGAATACAGGAATATGATATAGTATCATATGAGTGACGTGACGAAAAGGGAAAACCTGTAAATCATTATAATACTGTAATAATAAGTGAAATGATTTACAGGTTTTCCCTTTTCGTCACTCATATGCAAGGGATGTTGCGGTACGGTCTTGGTCCTAAAAGACCGGTCCATAAACTGGTCAATAAACCGGACTATTAGCTGGTCTTCAAAATAAGCTACTTTATTTGGGATCCGCTAGCTTTTAAGCCATATTCGATCACGAAATTTTTGACCAATCAAAATTATGAATTTTTGTTTACTCGGATCATCCCGACGAAGCAAATAAAGTAAAAATGCGAAAAGATTTTTAAAACTTCTAGCGAAGGTTTCTCGATATCTATTTAGGCAACTTTTTTTTTTTTTTAATGCTGTGCTATTATAGAATAAAAAAAATTTTGGTATTGCTAAATCTCTGTATGTTCGGCCAATTAGATTGTAGGACCTTGTGAAGAAAAAAAAAACCAAATGACCATCGATAACAAAATATTTTATTACTGTATTATGGTAATGCATCTTCAATTTTTAAAAAATGCATAATATATTCGGTGAGGTTAAGTAAAACTCAAAGTTTTTGTTGTCGAATTTGGAGTTGGAAAAATCATTCGAATATTTTGGAAAAATCCAAATTCGGGTAAATTTTTCTTTTATTTCAAATTTAACCGAAGATTTCTCGACAACTAGCTAACCAAATTCTATGAAATTTTTTTTATTTTCATTCTATAGTAGCACGGCATTAAATTAAAAAATATTTTTACTGAATTTTATCAAATAGTTATCGAAAACCTTCACTAAAAATTTTAAAAATCTTTAAAAATCTTTAGAAGGATCAATTTTGTTGATTGGCTGTTTCCTTTTTGGGTTTGTATCACTTGTAGAAATAAGTGCACGTACGGAGGGATTTGTAGAGTCTTGAACCAATTTAGCTTCGATCGTGAGCAATTTAATCGATAAGCTAACACACATAATTACAGGTATAAAGTTTCTCTTATTAACATAAATCAATACATTGGATTATTACGATAACACTAAATAATTAACAACCGCTCTTCCCTTCATAAACTGAAACTACACCCTTATGTACTTTTAATTCGTGTGAGGTTTCTATCCCTCGCTTTGGGGTTTCAATCACCCAACTATACACAAATTATACAGTATTAAAATAAAAAATACATAAAATAACACTAAAAAAATTTAGCATGACACCTTAATCTTATGATATAGTAACAGTCTCATTAGGGAGTATCCCTACATTAGTGACCCAGGTTTGTATACGGCTAAGTACTTTAATAAATGTCTCTGGCAAATTATTGGCGCGTAAATATAAGCATTTATTATATTCTTAAAGTTATTATCAACTTTAAAATATGCATCTGATAAATGCTTTAATAAATGCCTGTAAATTATTAGTTGTGTGTATATGTTTATTATTGGTAATCATGATCTTAAAATATCTATCTATATTTGAATAATTAGTAAGCAAGTATAAGTTAATGAGAACCGTAAATTTATATTTATTATAATTATTAAAATTGTCTTTATAGCATGTTTCATAAAAATTCTTTGAGTCCATAATTTTAACAGCTAATTTCAATAGTTAAATTTATTCTGCAAATATAAGAAACATGTGATTAAAATTTTTAAACAATATTACACGACGTACTAGTGACTTTTCAACACACTGTACAAATTGGCTGCAAATTATATTATTTGATACTTTGTTATTCGGTAACAATTCACCAATTACTAATAATTGACTATTGATTATCAATAATTTAGAAGATTATGGTTAAATAAAATTCATAAATTAAAAATTATCAAATCATACCGATGCAGTAATATATATCAGGTTTATGCTTACTCACCAATAATTTAAAACCAGCATTTGCTAAAATATACATCGTTAGATATAAAAGATATTCATTTAAAAATCACCAAATGAAAATTTAGAACAAATATACTAAAACTTATAGAATTTAAATAAAAAAAGTATTTTATTTATTTTAATTGAATTATATATATATTATAGAATTCAAATAAAAAATGTTTTTACCGAGTTTTTTGGGATATCAAAATTTTTATTAAGGTTTGGTGTTTAAAAATGCTTAAGATAGAAGTTTTACGTATTAAATTTTCCAAAAGATTTGAATCTAATCACATTAGATGAAATTTTTTATTTGAGTTTTAAAAATGCAATAATATAATCATTTGATTTTAACCTAAAGCATATTAATAAAAAAAGAACATTTGCTGCATCAAAATAAAATACGTAGTTACTATTTAATTATGAATTCATAACAAATAACAAATCTCAATTAAGCTTTAACAATTGTATATAAAGTTAAGCTACGACCTCCCACTCAGCATAATGTTCTAAAAATGTGTGCATTCCAACATCAAACCATAAATGCCTATCTCTCTCGTTTTCAAGCGATAGAACATTATTTTGTTCATCCTGTTTCATGCTGATACCGAGTCTTTTAGGTACAATTCTATGAACCGTTCGTCGACGTAATCCAACCTTTTTCGCGGTTTTATTCGCGCCCTTCTTTTCCATATATTTTTCAAATTCTTTGGTATGATCATATAATGCATTCATTTCATCAGTAATTTCAAATGTTAAACGAGAAAAGTGATTCATTATATCATTAGTATTGGATGATGATGATGAAAATTTATTTGTCAATCTACTTTTATATTCATCATTATCGCCCTTCAGAACATTTTCCATTAATTTTCCTTGATCAGATTGTGGTATAGAAGGTAACCAATTCATGAACAGTGTAATCAGAGTTGCATATGGGTTATTAGAATTTAGAAGAGGTCGGAATTTGGTTAATATGGATTTAATACCAACATATAATTCATCACCAAGATTATTTACGTAAATCCTATCAAATTTGTTGCCTTTTAATTTTTCGTTAAGTTTGAGAGCATCCTCATCATACAAATCAAAATTAACTGTCAATTTTTCTAATCGATCAACGAACATCTCAAATTGTTCACGGAGATAAAAAAAAAGTTTCCCATAAAGATCTTCGTCTGCTGTTCCATGTTTAACCTGAACAACCTTAAATATATCCCATCCTGAAAGTGGATCTGAACTGTCAGCCATTACCCAGCCACATTTCGGATCTAAAATGAACCTATTTTGTGCATTATGATGAGCATTCAACGCACCATATGGGAGAAGAATTCCATGATGACGGAAATTATCGAAACAAATTCGTTCGCTTGGTGTAAGACGTTGAAGATATCGGTGTCGATAATCTTTACGGTCTGGGTCTAACATAATAGCGTTGCGCATAACTACGCCTGTTTGTAAATCAACCCCATTTGCAATCATTTCTAAGAGACACTTCCAAGTTTTAAGACTAAAATGCGTACGAATTTTAATTTTACCAAACTCAAATGTATTTTCTTCTTTCATAAGTGAATTTTGAACAAGTGTACAAAATATTTGAAGGCATTTAATCGATTGTTTATCAGTAAGTGCTGATGAATACCAAATTTGAATAACCATATCAATAGCATTCTTTCCAAGCTGTGCAAGCAGATAAATTATTATAAAGTTTCGAGCCACAATTCGTTCTTCGTAATCGTTAATACAAATATTAACTGGTTGATCGAAATCGAGCGGCAATCCATTCATTGATATAATAGTATCATTGAGATCTCCACTTGCAGCAAAGAGAATATTAATTGGCTTATTGAAACTTGATTTACCATTTGAAAGCTCATTAGATTCCAATTTAACAATATCAATTGCCGGCATGTTTCCCCATAAATATTCTACATTTTTCAAAGGGTTAAAAAAGGACATAGAAGGACTATCGGAAAAGAATGATGGCATTCTCACTTCCTTGACATAGTCTGGTCGCCAATCTTTTGATGCTAGGTCAGATTTACAATCAATTTTATGAAACTTCCAATGCATCTTTTGACATTCTTTGCTGCAATAAAGGATAACTCGACAATTTGTACAAAGTTTATCACCGATATTCTTACAGGCGAAACGATTAGAAACATTAATATTTGAACACATAACTTGTTCAAGTGGCTTACCATCTACACCGGACCCAAAATCATTACCTTTGAAAAAAGTCGTAAACTCAAAGAAAATGTGCTCAAGTTTATGCTGCTTTGCGAATGAAGCAATTTTTTCTATAATTACTTTATCGCGATATTCATTTATCTGGAACTGTGTCAAAGTTTCGTTATCATGAGTAGAATTTATTTTACCGGTACCAGCACTAACTTGATGCCTTTTATCTAAAAACTCTCTAAATTTAGCTTCTTTTTCAACATGTGGCAATGTCCCTAGCTTGTTAAAGTATTCACTAATCTTTTCATCTTCGGATGTAAATGATAAGGCTTCAAGTTCCTGTGAAAGATTCATTTGCATTTGATTGTTGCTGGACATTTTTAATTCGTAAGGGTAATTTTATATAATTGAAATTTATATAGGTTATTCGTAAACAATGAAGGCTTCTCTGTTGTAGTTATCGTTACAGATCAATTGTTTTATCTTATAAAGTTTGGCGTAACTTTTTTTTATAGGATATAACGAAGCTTGGATAAATTGGTCTGACCAATAATAATAATAATAAATAATTACAAATTACGGTGATTAGCTGACAATTGATCTAACTTTTTTAGCAATATCGTATCACCCATTATTGCATTAAATATCATTGTCATTGTTTATAAGTTTGGTAATTTATATATTTTTGGTTACGTAATCACGGATTGACTTATACATGCGTACGTACGTACGTACTGTACGTACATATCTGGTATTGTATGACTTACATTACTACTTTGCCCATCTCCAGAGCCTCGGGTTTTTGTAACATCTAAAATAGCGTAGCAAAATAGCTAGCAATAATAGTCTTGTGCTAAGATACATAATTTGCTACTTTTGCACTAAACATGTGATTACTACTTTGTTCTTGAACTGATTTACATGAACGAGTAATTACATATCTGCATATTTTAGATGATGACCGACGAACTCACTGAATGATAGATGGAGATCAAAATATGATTACATTAAAATTTATACTTAATAAATATAAATTTATAATAAGCTATTTTGCTAAATTTGCTAATCTCACTAGCTATTTTATCTAACTATTTTTGCTATCAACGTCTGGGGGCCCTGCCAATCTCTAATGCAGATGAAATAAATTAAAACTCATTTTCTGCTAAATTAATACTGTTGATATTCTCTGGGAGAGCAATTTGTAATATGGGCCAATCTAACTTCAATAGTTACGTTGAGTTTATAACAATCATTACAGTTTTAGCATGTAGTTAACGGAATTACATCGGATACATTTTAATTTATTTATCTTAACACTTAATTATTAATAATAGTATCAGAGGTAGTCCTGGATTATTAATACTGTAATTAATATTATGATTGGTCGAATTATTAACTATTAATTACAGTATTTAATAATTTTTATACGTATATGTGTTGTAGCTAATTGGTAGAGATTGGAACCGGTGACTAATTATTCGATCATTGATCGAGCATCGAAAATAAGCTTTCATTCACTGAGTTTTTAATTCGGATATCATTGAGCATCAGTGAATGTTAAAATTTATTGCACGGGTCTTATGTGACAACCCGTGCTTTTTTCATTTACTTATTGGCACGGGATTGTACGTCAGACACCGTGCAATAAGATAGTTATTATATGGGTATATGAATAACCCAATTACAATTACAAACACGAGTTCATATTTAAATCCCGTGCCTTCAGCACGGAATATGAACCCATGTGTAAATAGGTTATTCATACATACCCATACAATAACTATAAATTGTCACACTATTCGAAAGGTACGATAATTTCTAATTGTTACGAATCCTCGTTATAATTAGGATTGTGGAATGTATATGATGAACAAACGATTGTAGAAAGTGTTGTAAAAAGTCTTGATCATGGGTATGACGTTTATAAAATTGCAAATATTCTTGCTGACGCTGCCGTCAATTCTGCAAAACCAAGTGATAATGTTACAGTTATGGTAATTTTCTTCGTGTGGGGTGAAATTCAAAATGTTTCAACATAAAAGTCGTTTAATGTATCACGAAACTTTGACTATTTAATTTTCATAAGAATTCGTCGAAAACCCTTAAATAAAGGGTTCACCAATTTATTACAGTATACAATTTCTTAGTCTACTTTTAGAAAATAGTTTTCAGAAGTAAATTTAGTTTTTCTCTTTGCTATAAGATTTATATACATCGTTATATATTGATTATCTCAATAGAACTTTATGTTTCTTTAGACTGACATTGTTTATGAATTCATTTCATTGTAATAAATTTGTCAATTCTTTAATCATCAACTTTTGCAAGAAAATTTGCTTCCAAAATTTAAAATTTTTGCATCTAATCCAATTTTATTAAAAATTAAAATATTGGATGTATTAAAAATTTTTTTCATGTTATTAAATATTTAAAAATAAAAAATTATAAAATATATACTTGTATTAATTTTTAAATTATAAAAAAAAAATAAAATAAAAAAAATAATAAATGTTTATATACTAAAAATATTAAGAGGTTGTCCGCAATCATAGAGTATATATATTATAGCAAAAATTGACGTTGTAATACTATTACTTTCATATAGAGAATCCCAAAAGTTTCAGTTAAGAAAAATCATATAGTAAAAATTAACATGTAATCTATCAGACTAATTTTATTAACAATTATAGATGTTACTTACTGTCGCTAAGATACCAATAGATTCTCATCTTTGATTCCATTGTTGCGCATTACTTGCTCTTATTGAAATGATGTTAAACGCATTACTTTTAAAGACGATTTACAACAGTCTCTAAGAAAACCCGTATTCTTAAACACCGTTCACATTAATTGTAAGTATCTCATCGTGATACCAGCATATTGACCGTCTATCACCGGGAAGCCTTGACAAATCTTTTTGGCGTTTGCAATTTCTGTTTTCGATTTCACCACTATTAAAATATATAATATTAGCAACATTATATTAGTATTAGGGTTGCGGCCCAACCCATTTTTTTGAGTTACGACATTACTACATAGTTTGGGTTTGGGAATTGTTCAAATCAAAAACCCAAACGCTTGTCCATTTCAATCAATAGTATCAAACTTAAAAACCGATTAAATTTGTCAAGCACGTCTTGAATGTGTGCCAGGTTAATGGCGCAGTTAGCCTAAGCCACGCCGATCAATCATCAATCGATCATGCAAAATACATACG